AAAAACTGTAGTTGGTTAATTAAATTAAATCTAATAATATAGATTTTATATTATTGATTTAAAAATGAAAAACAATATTTTTTTTTTAATTATTTATAATATTTTAGTACAGGACGGATATCATAACAAACATATAATATGCTTCCTTTTTACATATATAAAGAATTTTATATAAATATATATATATAAATTTAATAATACATACAATATACATTATGGTATGTATTTTATTTTTATATTAAACTTAAAGATATGGTTACTAAAATTAATTATTAAGGATTAAAATGAATAATATAGGTATATAGTTTAGTACAATTTTTTATAAAATAAGTTTTACATAATAAGTCTTTTCTAATTTATTTTTCTAAAATACTAATATAAAATTAAATAATTCGAGTAAATTATTTATTATAATTTTTATATAAAAATACTAAACTAATAACGTAAGAAGTATTAGGCTAATTTTGTTTTATTTACAATTTAAACAATTTTTGTTCTTTTTAATTGATTCGATAAATATTTCGATAATAATTATTATTATTATTTATTAATTATTAAAAATATATTTATTATATATTTTTATTGCAAGCAAATATAAGCGTAAGTTCACTGTATAATCAAATCTTTGAGCGCAAAAAGTTCTCTATGGAAATAGGATTATTACTGAATACAATATGTATATATCTTTATTAATATATTATTTAGATTATTTTTTATCAAAATTAAGAGTTCAACTGGGATAGTTGGTATAAGTAAAGTAATTTTTTTGATTTCTTTATAGAAAATGGAGGTAGACATTATTCTTTATAAATTGATCATATATTAATTAATAATAATAAAATCTATAATAATCGATTATAGTCAAAGAATTTAATATTATAATTCGAATTTATGAGTTGTTCTCAGTCTTGAAGAAATTTTATTCATTTTTTTTTACTGATTTAAAAAACAAAATTGTTTTTTTACATTCATTAAAAATAAAAACAAAATCATTTTAGTTAACCTATGAGTTGATTATATCTTTTGTATGCGTTAAAAATTTGCTCTATGACTTAATTGATTTTTTTTCATGTACTATTGACTAATAGTAATTTTAATTGTAATATTATTTTTACATATATAATTAAAATATTATATTTAATAAAATAAAGTTAAATTAAGTCTCGCCTCAAGTAAATACTGAGCTTATATTGCTTGCACTGCTTACGCCTATAACTACACCTACACCTACGCCTACGCCTACGCCTACGCCTACGCCTACGCCTAAGCCTATACCTAAACCTGCTTTAGAAATAAATTCACACTTCAATACTGTTGAGACTGCCCGACGAAATGTTGTCATTGTGACTACCCAGCCTGTTGCGTTTGATCATGGCGCGCGCTGGCATTGGAGAGCGTTGAACACGCGGACTGCCCGGTACGATGGGTATACCCACGCCGCCATTGTTATTGTTTGCATTGCCCGAAGTACGTCTTGTGCGTCGCAGCGAGGGTATACGTGTCGGGAGGCCCTCAATATTCATGGAAGAGTCATGCGGCGAGGTTTGTGTATTTGGTGGCATTTGATAGTGTAAATTGCGTGCGCTGCGTTCTAAAGTGCGACGATGCTGCTCCATAGCCGGCGTTGTGTGCGGTGTAGTTGACTGGTGATATGGATTGTGCAAGTGATGATTGTTATTCTGATGTGGTGGTACTGGTGGAGGCTGATGATTGTTGTGATTGTGATGTGGTTGATATTCACGTTTGTGTAACATCGAAGGAGTACCCGGTGTTGAAGTTTGATGATAAGGTTGAGCGTGATGTATTCCTTGATGTGAACCAAGATGAGTATGTAAGTTTGTCTAAGATGCAAATAGAAAAATATTATTAATATTTAATTAAGTTATTGGAAAAAAAAAATATTTAATTATAGAAATTGTTGTCTTTTACTTTAGCTGTTGGGGTTGTATGGTTCGATTTAGCAGCTGCATTTGTTGTATTGTTACAGTTAGTGGAGACATTTTGATTTGTTTTTGTTGGTAATGGTGGTAACGGTTTGGAGAGTGGAGAATTTGTATCAATCACTCCATTACAATGTTTATTGTTGGTAGTTTGTGTGTTAGTTGTTGTTGTGTTTGTAGTAGTTGTGATACCTTCACTCGCTTCCAGTGTCTCGCATGATGATGACGAGCGATGTTGTTGTATTTGTTGTTGTGTATCGTCACTATTTAGTTGCTCGTCACTATGATGTGATGTTGTTGAGGGTGTCGTTTGTGTGGTGTTTGGCAAAAATCTTAGTTCCATCACATTTCGATTCTAAAACAGTTCACGCTAATATTTCTTAACTAGTACCAACCAAATAGTTTAACAGTCGCACTAGTAATAAGCCAATTTAATTCTCATTTACTTGTGAATTATATATGGAACAGATTCCGAAAAATTATTATTTACAAATTTTTTGGCAACAATGAATAAATAGCAATAGATGATATATAGTAGCTAGTAAAGTTTACTAATAGTTATAAGCGGGTTCGGTGTTTGTTAGTATGCAATATTAAGCTCCTTTAGGTATTAAGTACATGTAGATTTATACAGATTAAATACTGATATGAATAATATATATAAATCGATTAAAAAAAATACTGATATGAATAATATATATAAATCGATTAAAAACTCTTATGCATTAAAGATTTGAGAAAATATATTGATTTTTTTCATTAATTTAAATATGTATACAGTAATCCACCCTATAACGCAGTACCCTTAAAACGCGTTTTCATTTTACGCGATTTCAATCCCCCGTAAAATACGGACATTCTCCCATATAACGCGGGGATTTGTACAGTTCATAATTAGCTTTGCGTACCTTTGCGCGCGTGGAATGGGGGTATACCCTATAACGCGTTTTCCTATAATGCAGTCCCAATCTACCGCGTTATAGGGGGAATACTGTATATAAAATACTAAAAATAGTGAATGTGTGAAAGAGAAAAATATTGATAATATTGATTTAATAACTATTTAAATAAAATATAAATTTTAAAATAATCTTTAAAGCATAATTTACATAAACACCTATTTTTGACAAATATACTAGTAAGAAAAGAGATAAGCAATATGAATATATACACTATTATTCAATAATATTTATATTAACTTATAAATTTACTATCAGTACGAAATATTTTTATGTAGGTTCAATAAATGCCATAATAATAAGAAAATTTAATTTACACCTTATATTTAATAACATTTTTCAAAGAAGTATATAAATTATATATAGTATACACATATATTTATGATAGTCACTTATCTTTCACTTAATGTAATTAAATATTTTATCCCTTTCTCAAAATTTTAAAAATATTATTTTTCAAAGAGAATAGTTCTAACAATGGTAATATAAAAAATTAATCCAAAGATATCACGAAGGATTCCATTGTCAACTGATACAACTTTGGATACAATACAAATCTCACTCGGTAAAAAAATCAAGCTATATAATCATTACAATTGTTTTAAAAACTACACTGAAGTGTAGTTGTATTATATGATACTTTTACGGAAGTATCATATGATACACTAACTAATGATATGAACTAAGTATCATATGCCACTAACGCCTGCACAAACGGCTATAAACTAAATGGACTCATAATATATATGTAACACTACTACTGTAGTGAATACCAAAAACAAATTATAACTATATATTAAGTAGACGCCGGCTCTAAGTAAGCTTCCACCATCCCGGGATGGCAACGAGGGACATCCAAGTGCGCGGAGCGTGGTTAAACAGCTGCGTACCATAGAGGAATACAGGGGAGCGAACTGTTCCAAGAGCGGGCATATGCACCATCGATGAAGTTCTTTCGTGCTCAACGAAAACTATGCTAGGCACGAAAGCTGAAAAAAATGCATACCGAAACAGACAATGCATATGCAAATAGACATGATTATGAATTCAGCGTTTAAACACCCATCAGGATTGAGCCCAGTAAGATCCTGATTATGGCATACTGGAACAAACTACTTAAATGATAATTTTTGGGCTGGCGGATGTGGTATTCTGTTACCTGAGTATATGAGAGTGACATCTCATAGAAATGGCTTTCAGGTTAATGCCACATCTTCCTCCGTCCTTTTAAAACTTGGCAAGTCTCCGAGTACGTTCGATGTCTCGTCACCTCCCTGTTTTGCTTAGATAACCATGGGGATCGTTACGAGCGACTATACAATCGAACATCGATAGCGGCTAGGAGTTTGGACCCTATCAAATATGAATAAGGAAAAACAAAACACACCACAAACGTTAACGAAAGTGTCACTGCAAGATGGCCGAAAGAAGACTGCAATGGACGAGGGCACGCCAAAGGTGCCACCACAAACGAATGGTGTACTCATTTCGCCGGGAAATGAGTTCACCCAGAAAATGAAGAGCGAATAGGCGAAGACATTCGAAAAATGCGTAGTTGCCTATAAGAAAATAAAGCAAGCCGTAAATCGGCAAAGAAATGTCTCCACGGACATTAAAGAGGCTTATGATGGCTTATTTTCATCGATGTTGGCTTAAGGCAGAAGTAAAAAAAAAGACACGAAGGAATAACAATGCGGTAGACACCAACCGCAGCCCCCACCGAAGGCGCCGAAGAAAAAAACGAAGAAAAATGGGTAATGGTAACAGGCAAAAAACAAAAAGCGGTAAAAAAGCCTGAAGCACCCCCAAAGAAAAGGGTAAAACGAAAAGAGAAGCCCAGAATTCGTGAGAAACCGGAAGCTGTCCTCATCAAACCAAACGAAGGACACACATACACAGATATCCTTAAGGACCTTCGAACTAAGATAAAGCCAGATGATGAAGAGGTGAAAAAAACGACTTTTACGCCGAATTAAAAGGAACAATGGGAGAGGCAGCAATGGTAACTGAACTGCAGCCCTGTGCAAAAATAGAAATCTTGTCTTACAACAGATGAGAATAGTCTTACAACAGATGATGAGGTAAGAGTTGCAGTAAGAATTGCACTCCAAGAACCCACGGAGCAAATAGATGTAAAAATTTCTGGTGCAAATACCAGAGAACAACGGAGAGAATATGACTGCATATCAAGCCAGGCAGCTAAAACACTTCAAAAGGCGGAACGTATTCGTGTGGGCTTAGTAAGATACAGAATAAAACTCTTACAAGATGTAAAACGCTGTTACACATGCTTCGAAACCGGACATCTTCAATACAATTGCAAAGGACCTGACAGAAACGGTCAAGGCCTATGCATCCGATGCGGAGAAAGCGGGCACAAGCTGAAAGAGTGCACAAGGCCGTCAAAATGCTGCATTTGCGCAAGTAAAGGATACACCAAGGTGGACCACATACCGGGTTCCCATAAGTGCGAAGCTAGCAAAACGAAATGAGAATACTCCAAACAAATATGCATAGGAGCAAGATGGCTGACGCTCTGCTCTCTCAGTTAGTTCTAGAACGAAAAATCGACATCGTCATCAGAAGCGAGCAATACAAGAAAATTTGTAACACAGGATGGTATGAGGACTACACTGGAACCGAAGCTATCTGGGAGCTATCAAAAGGAACACTTAATGCTGTAAGTAATGGAAGCGGGGAAGGTTTTGTATGGGTAAGGACAAATGACTACACTGTTATAAGCTGCTATCTAACACCCAATGACACTATTGGTGAATTTGAAAACAAACTCCATAATATAGAAGAGAAGGCTAGAGAAATCGGAGGCTCCCTAATTATTGCAGGGGACTTCAACTCTAAAGCAATCGAATGGGATTCCACGACGACAAACTCACGCGATCGACGCGTACTTGATATGGTGTCTAGATTGAGGCTTGCAGTAGCAAACTCAAGTTTCGCTACAACATTCAGAAGACCCGGATGTGAAGCCACAACTCCAGATATAACACTTGTGTCGGATACGTTTTCAGGGGCACTCAGAGACTGGAAAGTGCTGGAAGATTATACCGGCTGCGATCGCCAGTATGTTGAATTCAGGATTACACTGCGGGAGAGTGCTGCAACAGATTATCAACCTAGCAGGATGCGAAAATGGAGGGTAGACCATTTAGATGTACCAACTCTACTTGCTGCTATAGACAGCAGGGTTGCAGAAAGGGATCCCATACTAAACTCATTCTACAAGCTTGTAATGTTTCCATGTCAAAAGCGGGAAGATCAACCCGAAAGAAAGCCGCATACTGGTGGACCGAGCAAATCGCAGAAATGCGGACCATCTGTTTGAGGTGCAGGCGAAAGCTGACCAGAGCCCGGAGAAGAAGTAATGCTGAAATAGAGGAGCTGAAGTTTAAAATAGCTAAGAAAAATTTGATAGCAGCCATAAACCAAAGCAAAAAGGCGAAGTGGGAAGAACTAAGAGAAGATATAAACAACAATTCATGGGTCACCGGATACAAGATTATAACTAAAAAGCTGGTTGCCAGACAACCCACCCCGTCACTAGAAAGCGCAAAAATGAAGGAAATAGTTGACACATTATTCCCGACACATGAGGTGCTCCCAAGCAGAGCAGATGATTCCCTGAGAGAAATGCCGCCTCTATTTACACTACAAGAGCTCTCCGCAGGTGCTAGCGCGCTAAAAAATAATAAAGCTCCGGGGCCAGATGGAATACCAGCCGAGATACTAAAAGTGATTGGTAATGAACGACCACATGTGTACTAGAAATGTACAGTGCTTGTTTAATGGAAGGCAACTTTCCTAAAATTTGGAAGAAACAGAAACTAACATTAATTAGTAAGGGTAAGGGCGACCCAGCACGTGCTGAAGCATACCCACCACTCTGCATGCTCGACACCGCTGGAAAACTCCTTGAAAGACTGATCAAGCCCCGACTTACAAAAGCTTTCGAATCAGCAGGTGGCTTGTCACCGAGACAGCACGGTTTTAGAACAGGACGCTGCACGCTAGGTGCAATAGAG